GATGCCTGGCACGGATGCGGGGATCGGTGTGGCGTCGGTCTTTGGAGCTGGCGGTTTGCGTGGCAAGTGCGTTTACCGGGTCCCCCTACCTGGGGTCCTGGACCCCAGGTAGGGGGACCCGGTCAGTGGTAGGGTCCGGGGGCCCCGAAATTGGCCAGAATCACCAAACCAGGTCTGCCGCAACTGGCGGTTTTCGGGTGACGGCAGTTCCGGTTCGTGGAAGTGGGACGGGGGGGCCTCCCCCGGTACACATCACTGAACCAGGTTCCACTAAACCCAGTTCTGCCAACGCCCGAGTCTCGCGGGCTTGCTGGGGCTCCCTGAAGCTTTCCGAGGCCGCCCGATGCCGAGAAGCTTCGGAAGCAGCACCGCGGCAAAAGCCGCCGCGCTCCCCGTCGCCGTGAGCAGCTCGGGGCTGCGCCGGAGGCCCCTTTCTGCGCCTCTGGGCGGCTGCTCGGGGCATCGGAGGGAGGCATTGTGCATGTTGGGAGCCCTTGGGCCTTTGCGGGTTGGCTTCGGGGCCGCCCGGTCGGGTCGTCAGGCCGTCCTGGAGCTCTGTCGGGCGGTATCGGTCCGTCTTAGCTGGGCAGTTTCCGGTCCAGGGTCGCCCCGGGGGGGGGTCTGGGGTTGTGGAGGACGATCAAAGGAGAGGAAGCATGTTGCCAAATAATGTCCAGATGTCTAAAAAGATGCTTCAAAATAGTTCCAAATCTGTAAAACACATGCTTGACACTTTTTTAGAACATCTTTCACACATTTTAATCACATCTTTCATTCAATGATGGGATGGTTAGAGTGTCCATTGCCGTGGCATCCACGAGTCTCGGGTCGCGTTCCCGGAAAGCCACAGAACCCTACTCAAGCCGCCAAACCGAAGCTCGGGATTCGCCTCAGCACACCCAGAAGTCATCCATCAATACCTTCTCGGATCTTTCGATACGAGAGCCTCTTGGCAGCTTACTTGGGTCCTTTTTGGGGGTCTATGTTGGAGGCCTTTGGGGCCCTTTTGGGGCCCTCTTGGGGCCTTCTCCTTGGGGCCATCTTGGAGGCCATTGATCTAACAATGGGGGCTCTCAATTGGGGACACACTTGTTGAGCCTGAAAACTTGTCTCTTAGGACCCTCTTGGTGCTCTCTTGAGGCGCTATTGGGTGCTCTTGGGGCCGTCTTGGAGCCCTCGGCGACAAGGCCAACAGGATTTTGGCCCCTGGAGGGCTGCCCTGGGAGGCTCCATGGGCTCAGAGCCTTCTTAGAGTGATCTTGGGGCCTCTAGGAGGCATCGAGGAGGCCATGTTGAGCCATCCTGCACCCATCGTGCACCATCTTCGAAGCAGCCTCACGCTATCTGTAGCCATCTTGGGGCCAGGTTGATCCAAAAGTCTCCCAAGGATTCTCCCGAGATTGTAACACCTTTGAACAGCCAATTGTTTTTGTTCCAATGGTTTTGGCTTTGAGTGAAGGAGGCCCTGTCATTACCCCGCCCCTCGGGAGCCCGAACATTGGCCTCTTGGGGCGCGCTTGGAGTGCTCTTGGGCGCTCTCGGGGCCGTCTTGGAGCCCTGCTGGGCACCTCTGTGGGGGTCTCTTGGGCCATTCTGGTACCAACTTGATGCCTTGGAAGCTCATCGGAAGGGGAAGGCCGAGAATACAAACTCACAGATCTTCCTGACGGTCTTGGAAGGATTTTGGCCTCTCGGGGGCCTTGTTGGTAGGAAGCGTGGCCACTTGGAGGCATCTTGGAGGCCACCTTGAACCATCCTGAGTCGTCTTGTGCCTTGCTGGAGTGTTGACTGTACATGCTAATCTGTAGCCCCTTGGTCCAAGTAAAAACCATCAACATGGTAGCGGAGCGTGCGTGAGCACGTTCCTGCCGCCGCTTCCCTTCCAGCCACCCGCGGCGCGCGCGCGCGCCAGCGATAGGGCAGCGGCGAGGGCTGCGCCCTCCTGGCGGCTGGCAGCGGCGTGAGCTGCGCCGGCCGGCCCTTCCTAGCCCAGCACGCCGCCGAAGAAGAAGAGGAAGCGTGGCTCAAGGTCGAACAAGGCGGACATCCTGAGGAGCCGGAAGTTCGACGAGAAGCTCGACAGGAAGTATGGAAGAGATCGAGCGACGCTTCCAGGCGCTAGAGGGAGCGTTGCAGGCTGCCGAACAACGGGTGCAGGCTGCAGAGGAGCGCGCCCTGGCGGCGGAGTCAGCAGCAGCGAGCGCAGGCGCCGCGGCGAGCAGGCCCGTGGCAGCGGCGAGGGCTGCGCCACAGGATCTAGTGGACACTCGGCTTCTGGCGAAGCCGAAGGCGTTCGGAGGCAGCGAGGACGAGTGGCCGGGATGGAGCTTCAAGATGCTCGCGTACCTCGGGGCCCTCGACGAGATGATGGCCAACGAGCTGACGGCGGCTATGACGTTCCCGCTGGAGGAGGTGAGGAACGCGAGGCTCCTGGAGGAAGGAGCGAGCCAGCGCAGTCGTCAGTTGTACTTCATCCTCGTCCTGCTGCTGGAAGGAGCTG